ATGTACCCCAAAGGGGGTACGATCGAAGACGACGAGGGCGGGTACCGAGGGTTTGGGATATACGTATTGGTTGGCACGTGAGCAGCTAGGAGCGAACAGCCTTAAACTGATTGTTAGTGTCGTCGTCGTCATCGTTGTTGCTCTTGGTGTTGTTGTTTTGTTGTTGCTGTAGTTGTAGTAGTGGTTGGTGTTGTTGTTGTTGCTGTTGTTGTTGTTGTTGTTGTTGTTGTTGTTGTTGTTGTCATTGTCGTTGTCGTTGTCGTTGTCGTTGTCATTGGTGTTGGTGTTGTAGTTGTTGTTGAATGTTCATTACTAAACAATGGTTATTGTTGGACACCTTAAGGGTGCCATGGCGCTCTCGCCGAGGCGCCGGCTACATCTTCATTGAAAATGAGGCCCACGCTCGAGCGGTTTGGAGGACCGCCAAAACCGGCCCCCAAACAACAAACACAACAACAACAACAACAACAGCAACAATCATTTTAAGATTGTTCGCTCTTATCTGCTCGAGTGTCCAATAACGCGTATTTCCCAGACTCTCGATACCCGCCCTTTCCGTCTTCGATCGAACCCCTTTTCGGGGGTATACATTTCTTCCCTGCAGGCCGGGCCCCGGCAAGCGGCGGGGCGGCCGTGGACCGTCGGCCTGGCCAGCGGCAGCGCTGATCGGCGGGGCGGCCGCGGACCGTCGACCCGACCCCCAGAGGGACGGACAGAGGACCGACCACGACGAGGACGACGACGTCGACGACGACGGCGACGACGACGACGACGACGACGAGCGAAAGCGAGAGCGATAGAGAACGACAGCAGGGCCACGAAGGACACGAAGTAGGCCACGAAGGGCGACAGCGGGGACACGAAGGGAATGCGTATGGGGCCACGAAGAGCGCGAACGAGCGGGGGCCACGAAAGGCAGATAATGCGGGGCCACAGAAGGCAACGATGGGGCCACTGAAGGTAGCAAGTGGGCCACGTAGGACAGTGAGGGGGCCACACACGGCGACAGCGGGGCCACGAAGGGCATGCACATGGGGCAACCACGGGCGCGAACGAGCGGGGGTCACGAAGGGCATACATATATGGGGCCACGAAGGGCAGCCAGGGGGCCACGAAGGGCCGCAACGGGGCCACGAAGGGCAGCGAGGAGGCCACGAAGGGCTGCAACTGGGCCACGATGGGCTGCGACGGGGCCACGAAGGGCCGCAACGGCGACAGCGGGGCCACGAAGGGCATGCACATGGGGCCAAAACCGGCGCGAACGAGCGGGGGCCACGAAGGGCATACGTATATTGGGCCGCGGAGGGCAAGAACGGGGCCACTGAGGGCAGCAACGGGGCCACGAAGGGCAGCGAGGGGGCCACGAAGGGCGACAGCGGGGCCACGAAGGGCATGCATATGGGGCAACCGCGGGCGCGAACGAGCGGGGGCCACGGGCATACATATATGGGGCCACGAAGGGCAGCGAAGGGGCCACGAAGGGCCGCAACGGGGCCACGAAGGGCAGCGAGGGGGCCACGAAGGGATGCAACGGGGCCACGAAGGGCTGCGATGGGGCCACGAAGGGCAGCGAGGGGGCCACGAAGGGCTGCAACGGGGCCACGAAACTAAACGAGGGGGCCACGAAGGGCTGCAGCGGGGCCACGAAGGGCAGCGAGGAGGCCACGAGGGGCTGCAACGGGGCCACGAAGGGCAGCGAGGGGGCCACGAAGGGCTGCAGCGGGGCCACGAAACAAAGCGAGGGGGCCACGAAGGGCTGCAACGGGGCCACGAAGGGCAGCGAAGCCCTCGGTAATCTTTGAGGGAATCCTAAGCGTGAGCGCGACTCCTGGGTGCCTGGGTGTCGGGAGCGCGGCGCTTGAGTAAATTGCAAGAAAATCCAACGCAACGCTCCCGCTCGAGACTTCCTCCTTTTTTACTCAGGGCTAGTGTTCTTGCTCGCCGCCGAAAGCCGCTGCCCTAACAAAACCAGCGCTCCCGCTCGAGACTTCCTCTCGCTTTACCTTGGACTGGCGCGCGAGTCTTTCTCTCATCGGCGCCGCCCCCCGCAAAAACACCGCTCCCGCTCGAGGTTCGTTCCCTTGTTCACTCAAGGCGGTGCTCCTCCTCGCCGCCGAAAACTGCCGCCCCGACAAAACCAGCGCTTCCGCCCGAGACTTCCTCCGTTTTTCGCTGGACTGGCGCCTTACTCCCTTTTGGATTGACGCCGCTCCCAGCAAGAACAACGCCCCCGCTCGAGATGTCCCCCCTTTTTCCTCAAGACGATGCTGTTCCTGGTCGCCGACAACCCCCGTCCCGTCAAAACGAGCCGCTCGATGCTTCTTCCCTTCTTACTCAAGGCGGTGTTCCTCCTCGCCGCCAAAAGCCACCGCCCCGACAAAACCAGCGCTCCCGCCCGAGATTTCCTCAGTTTTTCGCTGGACTGGCGGCGCCTTATTCTCTTTTGGATCGGCGCCGCTCCCAGCAAGAACAACGCTCCCGCTCGAGATGCCTATTCTTTTTCCTAGGGACGGTGCTGTTCCTCGCCGCCGACAGCCCCCGCCCCACTGGCGCCCAATTCTCTTTTGAATCGGTGCCGCCCCAGCAAGAACAACGCTCCCGCTCGAGATGTCCTCCTTTTTTCTTGAAGACGGTGCTGTTCCCCGTCGCCGACAACCCCCGTCCCGTCAAAACGAGCCGCTCGATGTTTCTTCCCTTCTTACTCAAGGCGGTGTTCCTTTTCGCCGCCGAAAACCGCGGCCCCGACAAAGCCAGCGCTCCCGCCCGAGATTTCCTTCCGTTTTTCGCTGGACTGGCGCCTTATTATGTTTTTTTTTATCGGCGCCGCTCCCAGTAAGAACAACGCTCCCGCTCGAGATGTGTTTTCGTTTCCCTAGGGACGGTGCTGTTCCTCGCTGCCGACAGCCCCCGCCCCGACGAAGCCACGGCTCCCGCTCGATGCTTCCTCCTTTCTTACTCAAGGCGGTGTTCCTCCTCGCCGCCGAAAGCCGCCGTCCCAACAAAACCAGCGTTCCCGCTCGAGATTTCGTTTTGTTTTACGCTGGGTTAGCGCCCTACTCTCTTCAGCATTGGCGCCGCTCCCAACAACAAGAGCAGCCCTGCTCGAGACGTCCTCCCCTTCTATTCAGGGCCAGGTCCTTGCCTCACCTCCGACAGCCCCCATCCCCACCAAGGCAATCCTGTCGTTCGATACTTCCTTGTGCTTTACCCTTCGCTGGGGTTCCACTGGCGGTCTCGCAACGGCGCAGCAAGGCGCGGGCATGTGTTTTCGAGGCGGCATATGTTGAAATTCCTCGGGGGAGGTGTTTGCAAGACTTCCTTGGGCGGGAGATCTGGGAATGGGAATAACGGACCCCGCTATAGAACAAGAGTCCCCCACTACATGGATGGTTATCATGTTGGTCGCATGCTTCGTGTGAAAACATCGCGCATGAGGGTGAAATAATTGTTTTTGTTGGTATGTTGTAAGGTTCTTGTTGCTGTTGTTGGTGGTGTTGTTGTTCGGGGGCTAGGAAGAAAGGGTGCGAGCCCAAGCAGGGGCACTTCAGTTGAAAACGCACAATGGGCACCGGACGGGGGGGCAACTATACTCATTCTCCGAAAAAACAGAATTCAATAGTAGCAGCAGCAATAATAATAACGCTACCGCGCGCGAGGTGCCCGCGCGAGGCCGCACGCGCGAGCTTCCCCTCCGCTTCCCGCGCGGACTCTGCCCCTGCCTGCGGCTCGCGCAGGGACGCCGCACCCTTTGTGACTCGCCAGGGCTCCAGTCTCTCCCCGTCGTTAGGACAGCGCTGGCGAAGAACAGGAGGATGAGGAGCAGGAGGAGGAGTTAGAGGAGGACGAAGGAACGCAACAGACTTGGCCTTAATGTTTGCCTAACGCATGAACCCAGCGCGACCCCAATTGGGGGAAAGCCTATTGCATGTGCGCATCGCTGGGCGCATCGCTTGGTATTGCTTGGCATTGCTTGGGGCAACCGCGGGCGGTGAACGTGAGGAGCCTGGGGAACCCGTGGAACCCGAGGAACCCGAGGAACTTCCGAGAAACGGGCAACGTAACAATAGGAGGCACTGGGGTCGGGGAACCCGAGGAGCCCGAGGAACCTCCAGGCAACGGGCAAAATAAGAATAGGAAGCACCAGTATTTTACCAAGTAAGAACCCTTTAGGCAAGCCTAATTGGGGGAGAAAGGAGCAGGAGCAGGAGCAGGAGGATGAGGAACAACTTTCGAGGGTCGAGGTTTCGGAAACGCTGCTCTACCCTTTTGAACGCCTCCTGGGGCTCCCTCGTTTCCACAGCCAGATTCCCCGAGATTCTTAGTCAGAGCGCACGCCAGGATCGACGGCGAGCGAGGGAAAGAAGTGAGAAGGGGCGAGCCTTCTCAAAAGGCTCGGAAGTCCCCTGACCTTCTGAGAAGTGTTCTATGGTCCCCCCGAAGACGCAACAAAAACCTTTCCGAATACTTCAGGCCTTCAGAGAAGCCCAGCCACCTTCTGAGAACGCCTTCTCCTTCTCACCTCCTCCCCTCGCTCGCCGCCGACAGGAAGATGCGGATGGGGACGGCGCCTCCTCGCGTCATGAGAAGAATCACCGCGGGCGGTTTTGGCAGCCTTCGGCCTTCGGGACCCCTCGCCAGGCCCCGAGGTCGTCAAGCAACGGCTCGGGATGAAGAGCCAGCCCCAGGGAAGAGGTCCGCAGCTGCGCAGGAGTGGTGGGGGGGGCACGCTGTGCAGGAGCCGCGACGGCGGAGTCCTGGGAGCCTCGGGAGAGGCGTCGGCCGACCACCTCGCCGCTCCTGGCCCCGTCGGTTCCCGGGTCCCACGCCAGTGTGCCCGCCTTCTCCTGGCCAAGGCGGGGGGGGCGCGCACGCCGAGGCCCAGAGGACCCCGGGGGTGGGCGCGCTGCCGGGCTCCGCGCGGAGGTGGGGACGACGTCGCCCGGAGGGGTCGGCGGCGGCGGCGGTCGTCTGCCCACCCGCGCGCCCCCCCCTCGCGGGAGGCAAGTCGGCGGCGGCGAGTCGACCCTGCTGCTGGTGCGCCCAGGGGCCGGGGGCGGGGAGCGCCTGCAGAATTCATCGACCCCACGCTTGATTTCCCCGTCGAGTCGCCACGAGAAGTGCGCAGAAGCTTCCGTAGATCTGCGGAACAGTCTACGCCTTTCCCCCACCCCTCTCTCCTCCCCCCTCCCTCGTTCCGCGTCCCTCCTCCCTCCTCCTCTCCCCCGTCCCCTTTCCCCCCACCTCTCTCTCCTCCCTCCTCCCTTGTCCCTCCTCCCTCCTCCCCCCTCCTCCCCCGGGGCGGCTCCGAAGGCGCGGCTCGGGGGCTCTGAGGCAGCGGGGGGAGCGGCGGGCAGGTCCGCACAGGGTGCGAGGCCTGCGCGAGGCACGGCCTCCTCCTCCTCCCGTGCCTACTCCTCCTCCGCCTCCTCACGCGAGCGGCGAGCATGATCCGTATCCGCGCTCTCGCGGTCTGGGCTCCGGGGCGCGGTCTCCCGCGGAGGCACGGTCGCACGGGCACGCTCCGCGCAGGGGGCGTCCGCGAAAGAGCGCCCCGTGTCCGTGGGGTCGCGGCCCGTGGGCCCAGACCGCGAAGCCGCAGAAACGCAGACGTTCCTTTCGGATGCAGCTCCTGGGAAGTCAAGTTCTGACTTTGCCCTGGTCCGAAAGCCAGCTTAAGCCCGCTCACTCCGGTCTGATGCCGCGTAATCCGGCTGAATATTGCTGAATCCGCGGCCTAATCCGGCGTAGCAGCCCCCCAATGGAGCTTAATCCTCCCGATTCCTTCCGACAAAGACCGCCCAGTAGTTGCCTCCAGAGTTTCTTCGCCCGCGAGATACAGTGACCACACAGTGTGGCGAGTCAGTGGTAAGGTCGGGGATGCAGCGGGGTCCGGGTCTCTCTTCGAGGATGTCTTCCCGGACGACCGGGGCCTCTCGAGGGTCCCAATGACGGTGCGGTGAGCGGTGACGCGTCGCGCGGCGGGTTTCTCTTGGGATTTCGGGATCACTCGGCATCGCTCGGACGTGTGCATGTTTCCCCCAGCGAGGGCCATCGAGAAGCATCCTGGATCATCCGGCAAAAAAAGCACGCATGAAACCGACAAATGCACGTCCGAGCGATGGCGAGGATCACCGCACGGTCCAGCGCCGCACCGTTTGGGGACCCCCCAGCGGCGGGCGGGGGTGCAGAGGCCAGCTGCGAGTAAGGCTCGACGCAGGACGGCCAGCAGGAAGGGCCCACGGCGCCCGTCGCGCAGCAGCGCCCTGGGGCGGTGATCAGCAGGCTGTGTCCCGCGCCTGCTCGCGGGCGTCGTCTTCGTCGTCGTCACGGGGATGATGTCACCGTCCTCTCCAACATCAGCCCCAGCGACAGGAGACTTCGTCTTTCCTCCCCCCCGCTTTTTCCCAGGCGTGTGTATTCTCTGGTCGAAGGCCGAAGGCCATCGAGGAGCCTGTTGGGTCATCTTGCGAAAAAGGTGCACGCCCGAGACAGAAACATGCACGGGGAATGGACATCCGAGCGATTGCGAGTTTCTTTAACGTCCTTGAGTTTGTTGGGGGTCAGGACCCTTTCGTTTGTAATTCTTCCGTCCTGGGCCTCTTTCTGGCCACTAGGGGGCCAGGAACAATTAGAAACGAGCACGTCGACGACGACGACGACGACGACGACGACGACGACGACGACGACGACGACGACGACGTGTACGTCAGTCTGGGCCTCCCTCGTGGGCTCGTTGCAGCTCGGGGGACGGTGGGTCTCTCGCCGCCTCGCCGCTGCGTCGGCGCTGGGGCCATGTGAGGAACCCGACTTGTTCCCCACGCCGACGTCGTCGACGGGTCGCCGACGCATCGGAGGAGGAGGAGGAGGAGGCCATCTCCTTCGACCCCTTCTGTCAGCGGCGAGCCCAGGGGGGGAGTGAGAGGGGGCGGGCCTCCTCAGAGGGCGGCGAGGCTCCCCATAGGACCTCGCGCCTTCGGGGAGGAGCCTCAGGTGAGCCTTCTTCGAAGCCGCAGGCGGCTCCCTGGAAGGCGCGAGGGCTTCTTCTCACAAGCCCCACCGCCCTCTGAGGAGGCCTGCCCCCTCCCGCCTGCCCCCTGGGCTCGCCGCCGACTCTGGCTCGAGCCCCCCTCTGGGCGGCCTGCAGCTGGGGCCGCCAGTGGGGGCGCGGAGAGATGTGGCCGCGCTTCCCGCACGCCACCGGCCCCCGTGGCCGCGAGGGTGCCCCCTCCGCGGCGACGCCGGCCTGCAGGGCCCACTTCGGTCCGAGCGGTTCGACCCAGCATCGATCTGGGGCGGCCCGATCCGACTCGGCTCCAGCGGTCCGACTACAGTCGGACCGAGGTTTAAGATGGAGGTCGATTCGGGGAGGGTGCCCTAGTGTTCTTCGTGTTCGTTGGACGTTTTTGTGAATCCTGATGCTCTGTTTGTGTTGGCCCACGGAGGGTCTGATGTTATTGAAGGATGTTCTTGCCTAGGTCCGACTGTATCCGATGCGTCTCGATGCTCACATGGCGACGTTGTGCATCCTGGCGCGGCCGATCCGATTCGATTCTGGCTCCGTGCCGACGCAGCCCGATCCGGCGCACGTTCCGCTTCGATCCCTTGCCCCGATTCGATGCTGATGATGATCCTGGCTTGCTGGCAGGTGCTCCACGGAAATGCTTGATCCCCCGATGGCCCCTGGGATCCACGGAAGCATATGATGACCTCAGGAAGCTCCGGCCCAGGCTTCTGAAAGCAAGGTGTCTTTTATCTTGTATGTCTATTGTAGGCTCGGTTGTTTCCCCACGTTAGGCTCGCCTAAGGGTTTCTTACTTGGTTTTGAAAGGTTGGTGCCTGGTGTTCTTATCGTGCCCGTTCCTCAGAGGTTCCTCGGGTTCCGGGATCCCTCGAGTTCCCCGTCCCCGGTTGCCCGTTGCCCCCCCCCACACACACACACACACATACACACACACATACACACATACATATAATACAATACGAAACCATACCGTACCTTACCATACACTATTTTACGCTACACTACATTACACTATACTACACTGCTATATGACACTTTACAAAATATATTACACACATATACAGACAGACAGACAGACAGACAGACAGACTGACAAACTGACAGACAGACGGACGGACAGACGGACAGACAGACAGACAGACGGACGGACGGACGGACGGACGGACAGACAGACAGACAGACATACATAACCCCACATACTAAAGTTGCGACAGACATACAGAACCCCACAAGCTCATAGTGGGTAATGGTTGCGCGGGCGCGCCGGGTTCATTTTGTCGAGTTCGCTCCGGAGTCATTTTCAATAGGAAATCCCCCAATGCGGGTCGCGCCGGGTTCATCTCCTCCTACTGTAGGCTCAGGGGGGGGCCGCCGCCACCCCCAGCCGCCCGCTCGTCGAGAGGGGGCCCGAGGGCCCACCCCGCCCAGGAGCGCTCGGTTGCGCTGTCGCGGGGGCACGTCGCCGATCCATCGGCGAGGCACCGCCGATTCAGGCTCGACGCTCCCCCCCTCCCCGAGCTGGTCCCCCGGGAGGAGGAGGAGGAGGAGGAGGAGGAGGAGGAGGAGGAGGAGGAGGAGGAGGAGGAGGAGGCATTGTCATTCCCTCCTCGGCTAGGGGTGGGGGGGGCCTCGAGAGCCGAGCAGGCCGCGGAGGTCCGCGGCGGCCGGGGCACGCTGGCGCCTCGATTCTCCCTCGTGGGAGCTGCTCCCGCGGCGGCGGTGGCGATGGCGCCTCCCGCGAGGTGCTGGAGCGGCGAGGGCTCGAGGCCCCGGCAGCGGAGGCTCGGCGACGGAGGGGCGGGCGGCGCCAGCGGTCCCGTCCGGAAGCCCCTTGTTTCGGGTGCAACGCCTGGGAGGTCAAATTCTGAGTTCGCCCTGGTCCGAAATCCAGCTTCATCCGGCTTAATCCCGCGTAATCCAGCTTGATCCCGCTTCATCCCATTTAATCCGGCTTAATCCCGCTTAATCCGGCTTAATCCCGCTGAATCCGAAGCACACTCCGGCGTAAGAGCCCCCCCCATGGGGTTTAATCCTCTTTTCATCTTTCTGACGAAGACCTCCCAGTAGTTGCCTCCTAACCTTGCTGGCCTGGGGGAGGTCGGCCAAGCGCAGAGGGTTGGCATCGCTCGGACGTGTGCGTTTGTTTTCACGGCGGGGACCATCGAGGAGCATGTCGGGTCACCTTGTTGGCATCGCTCGGACGTGTGCGTTTGTTTTCACGGCGGGGACCATCGAGGAGCATGTCGGGTCACCTTGCGGCAAAAATACACGCACGAAGCCGACAAATCTACGGGGCATGGGCGTCCGAGCGATGGCAAGGAGGGGGGTGGAGGTAGAAGGGGAGTTGGGCCGTCTCAGGGTCACAGGTGCTTATTTGCCAAAGGGCCAAAAATTAAGTGTCGCCGGCCTTGTCATAGGCATTTCAAGGAGGTGGGTCCGTGTGGCGAGCGGCGCCCAGGAATCTGAACTCAAGGAGGAAGGGTCAACTAGGATCTCCAAGTTGATGAGAGTCTCCACGGGCGCACGCCAGGCATATATTATAGAAGTAAATCGACCCCTCCCCAGGCCTGGGGTCGGCCACTCCACAAACATCCGAGGAAGCTTCTTGGTACCCCCTCCTTGAGGCCTCCACGGGGCCCCAAGACGGCATAAGCGGCTTCCAAGACGGCTCCAGGAGGCCCCCAAGATGGTCTAAGAGGGCCCCGAGACGGCCAAAGATCGCCCCAAGACGTCCAATGGTCCCAAGACGGCCCAAGAGGCCTCCAAGATGCCCCAAGAGGCCTCCAATATGCTTCCCAAGAGGCCCCAAGACGCAAAACCTTATGCTTTTCGAAGCTCCGAGAAGGCCCAAGAGGCTCCAAAGATCGCCTCAAGGTGGCCGAAGAGGTCCCCAAAGGGGCCCCAAACCGGCCCAAGAGGGCCCAAGACAGCTCCAAGGTGCCCAGACGGAGGATCCGAACGGCCGTTTCGCGCCCTCGACCCCCAGAGGCCCCAAAGAGGCCCCCCAGAGGCCCTAAGAGGCTCCCAAGAGGCCCCCAAGAGGCGCCCGATAGGCCCCCATGAGGTCCTAAAACGGCCCCCTGAAGGCACCGAAACAGGCCCCAAGAGGCTTCGGAACTGCTTCCAGGAGGCCCCCGCAACACCTGCCACCAGATCCGAGCGAACTGTCCAGATGCTTCCATGAGGAGCCCCAGACGCCTCCAGGACAGCTTCAAGCGCTTTCCAGAGCCTCCCAAGACAGCTCCAAATCGACCCGGGATGGCCTGAAGACGGACCAAGAGGCCGCTGAGATCGTCCAAGTTGGCCCGAAGATGGGCCCAAGGGTGCCCAAGACGCTTCCACGGCGCCCCCAAGCGGCTCTCAGAGGTCCAGAAGAGGCCCCCAGAGGTTTCCCAAATGCCCCTGAGAGCTTACAGTGTTCCAAAAACCTATGAGAACCGTAAACCATTGAAGAACTCGCTTGTGCATTACCGATGGGCTTTGGAGGCCTGTGGATGGCCCCCAAACACCCAGAACGGCCCCACGAGGAGCGTCAGGCGCGCCCCGACAACGGCCGGAGAAGGGGAACGTGAAAGGAGAATCCCAGATCTTCGCTCCAAGAGACCCCCAGGTGGCCCCAAGAGGCCTCCAAGACGCCCCCAGAGGCTCCCAAAAAACCGCCAAGAGGTCCCACGTGGCCCCGAAGAGGCACAAAACAGAGCCAAAAGAGACGCCAATAGCAATTGAAAAATGGGAATGTACACATTTCCGGTGCTCCCAACCATCCAGTGGTGCTGGGCCCTCGTTTTGAAGAGACAGCGCCCTGCGTTCCTCTCCTCTCCTCCTCCTCCCCCTCCTCCCTCCTACCGTCACCCCCCTCATTTTGGCACACCTCTCACACGTTTCGTGGCCCCATAGGCAGCTCCATCGAAGGTCCCAGTGTCGCAGCCCGCATGCGTCTCCCCCACCCAGTAAAGCTTTTCGTGGCCTAACAGGGAGCGGCACCGAAGGTCCCATTGACGCAGCCCGCATGCCTATGGGGCCACGAGGCGCTGTACTTAGTGCGGAGATGCATGCGAACACCGCCACTGGGGCCTTCGGTAGAGCTCCGTATGGGGCCACCCACGAAGTGCTGTACTGGGTGGGGGAGACGCACCTGTATACCGCTACTGAGGCCTTCGGTGGAGCTCTCTATGGGGCCACGAAGCGCTGTACTGGGCAGGGGGACGCATGCGAACACCGCCTCTGGAGCCTTCGATGAAGCTGCCTATGGGGCCACGAAGCGCTCCATTGGTCTGGGGCCGCCACTGGGGCCTTCGATGGAGCTCTGGGGCACGAAATGTTGTACTGGATGGGGGAAACGAATGCGAACACCGCCACTGAGGCCTTCGGTGGAGCTCCCTGTGGGGCCACGAAGCGCATACTTGGTGGGGGAGACGCACGCGAACACTGCCACTGAGGCCCTCAGTGGAGCTCCCCATGGGGCAACGAAGCGGTGTACTGGGCGGGGGAGACGCATGCGAACACCGCCACTGGAACCATCGGTGGAGCTCCGTATGGGGCCATGAAGCGCTGTACTATGGTTGGGGGATGCGCATGCGAACCCCGCCACTGGGGGCTTCGGTGGAGCTGTGAAGCTCCATTATGGGGGGCGCGAAACAATGACGCCGATGATGACGGAGACGAGAACGACGATGAGGACGCTGATGATCGTGACGGTGATGATGACGGCGATGATGATGACAATGACGATTACGATAACGGTAACGAAGTTGACGACGATAACGATGATGATGATGATGATGATGATGATGATGATGATGATGATGATGATGATGATGGTGATGGTGATGGTGATGGTGATGGTGATGATGATGCTGATGATGATGATGATGATGATGATGGTGATGGTGGTGGTGGTGATGATGTTGATGTTGATGCTGATGCTGATGCTGATACTGCTGATGTTGATGCTGATGCTGATGCTGGTGATGGTGATGGTGATGGTGATGGTGATGATGCTGATGATGATGATGTTGATGATGATGATGCTGATGATGAGGCTGATGATGATGATGATGATGATGATGATGATGATGATGATGATGATGGTGATAGTGGTGATGGTGATGGTGGTAATGGTGATGGTGATGGTGATGATGATAGTGATGTTGACGATGATGACGATTATGGTGACGATGGTAGGCATGGGAGGAGGGGGCAGCGCGAGGAAGGAAGGAAGGAACGCGGGGCGCTGTCTCTTCAAAACGAGGACCCAACACCACAGGCTGGGAAAACACGAGCCCGACCCTCGAGCCCGACGACGACGACAGCGACGACGGCACCTCCGCGGAAGCCGCCAGAGCGCAGGCGCCGCCGACAGTACCGACGACGGCGGCGACGGCCATGACGGGCAAAGGCGGCGGCGGCCACGGCGGCCGCGACGGGGGCGGGCGGCGGGCGTCGAGCGGCTGCGCCGCCGCCGCCGTCGCCCTCTGCACATCGCTGCACCGAGCGGCCGCCGAGCGGCGGCCGGCGACGGGCGGCGGCGGCACCGCCACCGCGGAGGCCGCCGGCGAGGCGGCGGTGGCGCTCGCCGCGCCAGGCGGGCGGGGTCTCGCGCTTCGCTTCTCGGAGGGTGGGCCGACCAGGTTGTTGCTCGGGTCCGTGCGAGAATGGAGAGAGAGGAAGAGGGTGAGGATGAGGGGAGGAGGAAGGTCCGAGGGTCCCTGTTTGGAAGAGAAAGAGGATCGAATTTGCTTTGTGGAATTTCGAGCGTGGGGCGGCATGCTTTGTTTCGGTTCTGGAGGAGGATCGGGGTTCGAAAGTGGGGCGACATGTTTTTATTCTACTCTCGCTGGGGACGGCCCGTGTTTTCTTCAAATTCGTTCGAGAATCAGTGGTCCGAGAGAGGAGGGGGATCGAGGTTCGAAAGTGGGGCCGACATGTTTTGTTTCGATTCTGGAGGCGGATCGAGGTTCGAACGTGGGGCGACATGTGTTGATTCGATTTTCGACTGGGACGACCGGTTTTTCGTTTGATTTGTCCGAGGAACCGGGATTCGAAAAAGAAGAGGAGGAGAAGGAGGTGGAGGGTCGAGTTTCGACAAAGGGGCGACATGTTGTTCCGATTCTCGATGGGGACGGCAAGGGTTGCTGTTAGATTCGTTCGAGGACAAAGAGTTCGAGGAGGAGGAGGAGGAGGAGAAAGAAGAGGGTCAAGGTTCGAACGTTTGGCGACATGATTCTTTCGGCTTCTCGATCTGGGCGACTTGTTCTCTCCTGATCCAGATGTTCATCGATGCGATCTTTTCTGCCCTGGCGATTTTCCTAGATTCTGGCGTCTGGGGCCCCGCAGCGGGCCTGGGGCCGTCAGAATGTAATCCGGGACGCAAAGCTGCCCCTGGGATCCCTTTGAAGAGGTCGGACACTTGTTGGACGCGCATTGAACAGAATATGCTCGCGGATGTCTAGGATTGGAGGTTTACATGGTTTTCTGGCTTTTCCTATCTTTATGGGGGGCGCGGGCAATACATACATAACAAGGGTTCGCTCGTGTAGCGAAGCGGATTTTCATACATAATCAGTTGCTCCCAGTTCAGTGTGCACTGAAATCTTGAAATAATAGGCGGATGTACGGCGCCGAGTTCGGTAGGCGGCCTGGTTCCCAGTACCGGGTTCCGGGCTGATTTCGGTGGGCGGCCAGGTTCGCAGGTTCTCTGTTCAAGGTCATGAATTCCCAGCGTTATTTGGCTCTTGTGTCTTCGAGTTGTTGGTTGCGGCTAAGTTCCCAGGTCATTGTGGCCACCGTCCGAATGAAAGAATACACAAAAATAATGAACCGTGTCAATCATATCGTAGAGGGCGTTGGGCATAGATGAGAGATAACATAATTGAGCATCTTGTCATTACTCATTATTTCTGAGCAGAGCATAGCGAGTTGATTGTGTAATCGGTATTGGTGTAGTGCGAATAAGTGAATGAAGCGAGAGAGAGAGAGAGAGGAGAGAGAGTGAATCGAGAGAGAGAGAGATAGAAGCAACAATAAAGAGAGACAGAGGGAGACACTGTAGGACATCATTTACAACATATTGATGTGTACATATACATACAGACAGGGAGCGAGAGAGAGAGAGAGATCAACACAGTATAACGTAAACAGTGACGGCAGACAGTAGTTCCCCCATAAGTGATTGAAGATTGAAGACGTAGGCGAAAGTGTCGGGCCCGATTTCGTTGGACGGCTGGGTTCCAAGGTCCGCGGTTTTGGTTCGGGGCCGCTGTCGGTTCTTGGTTCTGGGTCCAGGCCTCCTCCTCTTCCTCCTCCTCCTCCTCCTCCTACGCAGTGCGGTGCGGGCGCAAGGGCGGTCTCTCCGCCGAAGCCCGCGCCGCGCGGCCGCGGCCGCGCCCGCCGCGCGAGCGCGCGCCAGAAATGCACGCGAGGCGCACGTACACAAACCCCCCGCCCCCAACAGGGGAGACCCCATAGGAAAAAAAACACGCAGACACAGACGCACAGACACACACACACACACAGATGCACACACACACACACACGCACGCACACACTCTAGGGAACAAAATCACATACTGTGGAAAACACACACACACACACACACACACGTGGAACAAAAACGACGCACGGCTCCGTTGCTTCCACGGCGCATTTGCACGAAGCCCCGCCCCCAAAAGGAAAGACCCCATGGCTTCATGGGCCTAGGTGAGACTTCGGCGGAGGGGGACGGGGCGGGGGCCCGAAAAGACCCCGAGGAAGGAGAGGGAGCCTCGCCTCAGGGGCGCTCACCAAAGGGGGCGGAGGACGGCGGGGCCTCGAGGGTCCTCTGAATTCCTCTGGGACGGCGAGTCGTGCCGCCTCGGCGGCGGGGCCAGCTCAGCCGAGCTGGCTCTCCGTGCCCCCCCTCGGTGGCCGCCCGAGGAGGGCGGCACGCATACCGCCCGAGGGGGGCGACGTCGATGGAGTACCTCACCTTCTGGACCAAGTAGGTCCGGTTCTGGTGGGCCTGGCCGTGGCTGAAGTCGAAATCGTGCTCTGGGTCCTCCCGGGCGCCTCGCAGTCGCCGTCGGAGTCCTCCGCGAAGAGTGGGTCCTGGGGCGGCTTTGCGTCGGCGCTCTCTGGCTTTGTGTGGTGGGGCCTGTCCTCGTCGTCCTCCTGCTCGCTCACAGTGTCCTGGTTCTCTGTGGCCGTCTCCGGGCTGTCGGGCGCGTCCTCAAAGGTGCGCACCGATGGGTCCTCGGTAAGGCGCACCTGTTTCTGGCTTCCTCCTCCTTCGCATTCGCATTATTCCTTTTAACATCATCATCATCATCGTCATTACTATTGCTATGATTCGTCGTGCTAATGTTTGATTTCTATGGTTTCTCGGATTATGAAGATGAGAATGATTATTATGCGTATCGTTATGAGCATGATTATTGTTGTCATTCGTTTGTAGTTTTATTATCGTGGTCTGGGTCTCTCGGCCCGCGCGTAGTCTGGGTCCTCCGCGTGGTTTGGGTCAAGCTCGTGAGGAGAGGTGCCCAGAACATGCGTGCTGCGATCACAGCGCTCGGTTTGTCGAGGACCCACACGGCCATGTCTGCGATGTCGAGGGAGCCCCAAGCCTCGGCGGCGACGGTTCCGCCCGCGGCGCCGCCTTCTCGCGAGTGCTATTGTTGGAATCTCACGTATGCCGAGAGCTCGATCATCGAGACTTCGGTGTAGAATGTCTGCAAGGCCATCGGGAGCCAGGCGAAGGTCGCAAGGGCTCCCATGACCTGCCCCTGGTTCAGGCTCGCGCGCAGGATCTCCAGGGTTTCCGAGGTCGCGAGCTCGTCCTCGATGTCTTCTTCGAGCTTCTCCTCGATGTCTTCCTCGAAAACTGTCCACGGCCTTCCTACAGACGATGGGATCAGGCTGCTCTCCCATGTGATGGCGGGTTCGATCGGCTCCTCATCATCGTTCCCCTCCTTCTCGGCGCCGCCGTCGGGATCCTCTGACTCGTGGCCCTCGAAGTTGCTCTCTGTCTTTTCGGGCTTGTTGGTGCCTGCGTCCCTGAACTGCTTGTCGTTGTCGCCGCGGGCTTGCCGACCCTCTGGCTCGCCGACGCTCTTCTCGCCGACGTGGCCGTCCTCCTCCTACTCCTCCTCCTCCTCCTCCTCCTCCTCCTCCTCCTCCTCCTCGGCGTCGGCTTGCTCGTACTTGTCGTCGTCGCCGCCGACGGCGCGGTGCTCCGCGCGGACGGCGGTACGGCGTGCGGCGGCAGCAGGTTGCAGGACCTCCGCCACCGCCTCCTGCAGGCGGGCCTCCGTGGGGTAGGCGACGCCCGGCGTGGAGCCGTCGCCCTTCTGGTTGAAATGTCGGTGTCTCACGGATGCTTGTGGTTCTCCAGTTGCGGCACTTCGATGACGATGTACTTGGAGATGTCTTGCTTCCTCTTCTTGGCATGTTCCTCGTCCTGCCTGTCGTACTTCTCGTGGCGGTTGCAATGTTGCTGGTGCCAGCCGTAGCTCTTCCACCTGTCCGAGTCGACCCCGTCCTGGTCGCGCACGTTCCGATTGTTCTCGGATTCGTGGCCGTCGTATTGCTTCCTTGCGTACTTGCCGTGGCCGTCGTACTGCTTCCTTGCGTGATACTTCCAGCGCGTGGCCGCTTCGAAAGCGGCGAGGCGCCGCCGCCGCGCGGCCCGCCGAGCAGCAGCGGCGCCCAGCTCGGCAGCCTCTCGGGCTCGGAGGCTGCTGCGGGGCCGCCCTGAAGGTGGGCAGCCTCCCCGTGCTGGCTCAGGGCTGGCCCTCGCGCTGGGCTGCGCGCTCGCGAGGTCCATCCCAGCAGCGGCCCGCCCCCCACGAGGGGAAAACAAGCTTGGGCCACAATGGGTACTCCTCCTCCTCCTACTCCTCCTCCTCCTCCTCCTCCTCCTCCCCCTCCTCCCCCTCCTCCTCCGCCTCCTCGTCCTCTTGTTAGTCGGGTGCTGGCGCAGGCGTGCTCGCTGGCCCCGCCGCGCGCGCCCCCCGCCTCCCGACGCAGCGGCCGCGCGCCCGTGCTGACCTGCCCGCTCGGCGCCCCGTGCGCCGAGCGGAGGCCGAGGAAGGGCAGCGATGGCCCCTCCCTCCGGCTGCTGCCGACGCGGCACGGGGGGCGCTCTTGGCGGCTCACGCTGCCAGCGGCCTCGCGGTGAGCCACTCGGGGAGTGGAGCGCGGCTGCTGCGGGCTGCGGAGGCGCTGCTCCGCGCCGCCATTGCCGAGCTCGGCGCCGCGGCGACGCCGAAGCCAGCACGGGCCCCTGCCGCTGCCGCGGCGCCCCCTCCGCGGCGCACGCGGCCGCGCGGGCGCCGCGCGCGGCGCGGCGCAGCGGGCGGGCCGACCTCTGGCGACGGCGCGAACACGGAGCAGCGGGAGCAGCAGGAGGAGCGCGGCGCTGGCGCAGCGGCACCACCTGCACCTCGAGGAGGCTCGGACCGCCGACGGACGAAGGCGGAGGGGGCCAAAAGCGGGGAGGAGGCGGCCGGCAACGGCGACGGCGCGGAGACGGCCGAGGTCAAGGCGGCCGACGGTGGGCGTGCTCCTCCTGCCGAGGGCGCGGCCGACATCGGGTCGGACGAGTGGGCCGATGCTCGCACGCCACGCCCCGCGAGGGTAAGGCGAAAGAAGAGGGCCGGTGCGAAGGCTGCCTCGCGGTGCTGCGGGCAGCTGGCTTGGCCTCGAGCAGTTCATCCTCTTTGGCACGTCGGCATGGGTAAGTCCGTCGTGATGGTCTGGTACGTCGTGCTCGTGCTGGACTTCGGGGCGCATCTCAGCGCCGCCACCTCGCCACCTTCGTCGCGGTTGTGGCGAACACGAGGTGGTTCGCGGACCTCATCGTCTGGATGGGGGCCTAGCCATGTGGCAGTAATTGCGGTCTCGCGGAGGGTTATCCTTCTTCTCCTCGTCCTCTTGTTTCTGTTTCTCCTCCTCCTCCTCGGCCTCCTCATCCTCATCTTCCATGTGTTATATTTCTAGGTATGTGGTTCGGATCGCGTGTGCACGTTCCTATAGATAGCCCCTCTCCTGGAGCTCGAAACCCGTGCGTTCTATGCAATGAAACCCGCATGGCCAACAGGACAGAAGAGCAGATCGACACGGTAGCTCTGGTCGCCCATTCCCTCCAGAAGCGCTTCGAGCAGCGCCCAAACAAGAAGACGCACAGGCTCCCCGTCGCTTCCAGCGACATCAACCACAGGGCCGTTTGGCTGGGCGGCGGTGGGTGCGGCAAGACACGGACTCGTGAGAAGGTGGTCCAGCCTTAGGTCGAGGCCTCCTTCGGCCCCTCCAGGTACGCGGCCGCGGCGCATTCAAAAGCAGCGGCGCAAAACTCAGAGACAAGGCTCGCGCGCTCCACGGCGCCATCGCTCTTCTGCTCGGAGATTCCCTGAGGATTGCCAGGCTGCGCGTGAACGTGCAGACGTAGAAGAAGACGCACCGACTCGCTGGCGAACTAGGCGCTCGCGCCATCGATGAGCTCGGTTCCTTTCCGGCGGAGAAGCTGCGCGCCGACGTTCTGCGGAAGACGCGCGGCAGCGCACGATGCTACAACCTGTACCCCGCGATGCACGTGAGGCCGCAGGAGGCGCGGGGGCGCATGCCGTGCAGATTGTTTCGGGGAGACACCTGCCAGCTCCCGCCCGCCCCCAGCTCGGCTTCGTTGCTGGCCCCACGAGCACCTGCAAGCTTGGAAGCCCCTGCTGGGCGTCCCCTGACGTGTTCGAGTTCGTGAACACGAAGCAGTTCCACGGCCGGGACCTGTTGCGTATCCTCGAGGCCACGCGGACGAAGCGCGGCAAAAAATCAGAGATGACGTCAGGGCCAAGCTGAAGGCCCTTGTCTGCGAGCCTGGACACGGTCGCCCCCCCGCGAATCGAGAACATCGCACACGTTTTGCACCCAGTCCTCTAGCGACGACGGTGGCCAGTGGCGCATGACGTTCCTAGCCTGATCGATCGCGGCGTCTAGCCTCTGCGCCATGCCCTCGCCGGGGCACGGTGGAAGTAAGACTAGTTGGGCCTGTTGCTGAGCGTCTTGCGCTAACTGCTTGCCGCGAGCAAGGTCAGCACTGGCCTCGCTGGCAGCGCCCAACGAATTTGCGACTGCTCCGGCAATATGCTAGACATGTTAGAGGTGGCAAGAACAGCAGTCCAGGAAGCCGATCTGCCCTTAATGTGGAGACCCATAGCTCTAAGCTGAGCCCCTCGCGGGTACTCAAGCTCAACTTCAAACGCATGGGCGAACAGCTGCCAAGTTTTAGCGGTGATCTCCCAGGCGATACCAACTCGTGCGTCACACCGCTTGCGCCGCAGTTGCCGCCATATTTCTGGCTAGCTCCCAGTTGCGGGGCTTCGGAGCGGGGCCGAGAGGTGGTTCCTGCGAGGGCGGCCACTCCACTGAATATTTCGGTTGGGTCGGTCTTTTTCAACTGTTTGAGAAACATGCTCCCACCCAGGCAGAAAGAACCATGGGGCGCCGCTGCTGACGCGCGTCTCATGGGGAGGGGCGAAGAGCACCGAACCAAGTCGGCGGGCAAGCCCAGTCGCGTCCAGAAGGGGGGGGGGGGGGTCCCAAGCGCCTGCGCAGAAGTGCGCATGTTCAGGCTCAAGCGATCTGCAGACAGCCTTGAACAAAAACACGCGTTGCGACCACGAAGTCCCGCGCCAAACTTCCAGCGTGCTCACGCGATGACAAGAGCGGGCCAAGGAGCGACGTCAACGTGCACTTTCATGGCCCTGCTAGGGACAACGATTCCGCCATCTTTGCGGCGGCGCAGGCCGATGCGGGTCCTCGCCAGAGTAGCGCCCCCGCGCCCGCCCGGTCCTACCAGGGCCTCAAGCACCGATGGAGGGGCAAACATGCGCAACCCAAACCTGCCCGCCGAATCCTTTCTAGTGGCAGTGATTTTTGGCGAAAGGCAGATCTCCTGGGCCAGAACAAATCAGCGCAGTCGACGCAGCAAATCTGCCTCTGAGCGCGCTCCAAGACTTGCCGTTTTAGGTCTCCACGCGGTATCCACTGCCAGCGAGGCCCACGCCGTCGGGGCCGAGGCGAGGAGGGGCAGGGAGAGGCTGCCTTGTGTCATGCTTAGAAAGGCATGCCAAAACATCTTGACAGCGCAGACGTGCTTCCCGCGCTTGTCTTCCTTAGCACATATATTGGAGATCGCATCACTGAAATCCCTTTCCTCGGCTCGCCTGGCCGACCAGGACAAGGCCTCGAGCTCCGCGTCGGACCCAAGATCGGGAATTTCGGGAACTTACGCGGCTGCTGCTTCTGGATGAGCGGCCACAGCTGCACTTGCTGCTGAAGTGAGTCCTGGGCCGAGACGCACGCTTCTGCGCCTGCGACGCTTCCAGCAGCATCGCCGTTGTCGAACAGGTTGGCGCCCGTCGAGTTGACGAACAGAGGTGCCGCGGTCCCACTAGCAGCAGGGCGCATGCCAATACCACCGTCAGCACCGAACGGGGCCCGACCGCGTTTTGCGTCCTGCTTCGCCTGCTTGCGCGCCGACGCCTCCTTGTATAGTTCGAAACCTTCGGACTTGAACAAGTTGCCAAGCTTCGCTTTTTCGCCGGGATCCTCGGACATATTCTCGACCTCGAGAAATATGGGAGGCGCAACGGTTATAGGGGATGATGTTTCCACAAATTTCTTACGCAATTGAACGACTTCTTTACTACCCACCGCATTGTGTGCCAATAGATTGCCGGGCTTCCTCTTGAGTTTGTCCAAGCACCGCGTACTGCCCCTTCCCCTCTTGAGTTATGCCCGCTGCAATCGAGGGCCTGTGTTGTTGTGCACGTTGAGCTCCGGATTGGGGTTCGCCAGTTGTTCACGTGCTTCTGGTAGTTGCACATCGAGAGCTTGCTTTGCCGAGTCCATGCTTGGAACCCGTTCGACGGACTCTCGAGCTTGCTCCAGATGCTTGATAGTTATCCCGCAACGCTTGTAACTGCTTATTAGTATCTCGCGATGGCGGCGACGGGCCAATCCCGCTTCCAGTACCCATGGAAGTAGCACCAGTTCCACCTGAGAACAGCTTGCCGAACTTATTCTGCAACTCCACCAACTGGTTGTTCAGGACTGCCTCATTGCGTTTGTCTCCACGAGGCCCACCACAGACGCCGCGAGGAGGCTGGTGCTAACCAGGAGGAGAAGGACGTTCAACTTGTTTTGCATGTTGACAATCGGTTTCGGCAAGCTTACATGCGAGGCTCAATTTGATTTCTGTTGAGCCCGCACACGCCGCACGACCAGTACGGCAAGCTAGGTCCTGGGATAACGTCGGCGCCATCAGCCATGGAGGAACTCTGGATCGCGAAACGGATGCTCCAGCAGGAGCTCACGGGATGAAAGCGTGAGGGTTGAGATCTTTCGAATTGAAAGCCGAAAGACCCGCCACAGTGAGTGCTGTTTTCAAGGCGGCCGTGGCAAGCCCTCCCTAGGGCCAAAACGGCTGAGAAGGAGGAAAAGGAGGAGGAGGCGGAGGAGCAGGACGAGCAGGAACCTCCTTCCCTCCCTCCTGCCTTGACCATCTGGGGGGACCCCCCCTCCCCCGTCCGCCGCCGAGGCCTTCCCGCCGCGCCAGCGGCAGCCGACGGCCTTGCGAGGCGACGGCAGCCCGCGAAGCGTTCGGACGACATCAAGGCCGCCGCGGGGACGCCCCGGCAAAAACCGGCAGCTGATCGAGGGATGGTCGATAATGTTTAGAACCTGTATTAACCCAATGCGGTTCAGCTACATCGATAACACGCAGCCCATGTCAGCCCTCATAAGTTACGCCGCTTGCGTCGTAATGAAGGGAGCCCGTGAACAAGCACACGTTAGCGCTAACACACGTTTTGATGATCATCGAGATTAATAAGGTTTCGAGTTGCGCAGAGACAGCCCCCCTAGGTAGTCCCAGCTGGCCTCAACAGGCACCCCGAGTAGTCCGGGTGATCCGGGTGATCTGGGTGGTCCAGTTGGTCCGGCGGGTGGTCCAAGTGGTCTGCCAGTTGGTCCGGCGGGTGGTTTGCCAGGCACTGTGGTGGATAGAACTTCCCTATCCCCTTCCCTCGGGTGCAGATGCAATTTTGCACGGCGACGAGAAATCCAGCAGGCTGAAATTGTGCAGGCGACGAGTTCCTGGCAGCAGGCCAAGTCGCCTAGTTTCCATGGAACGGCTCGTACCGGAAAGAATTATGAAACGCTGGTGCTCCCCGTTCACAAAAATTAGCACCTGCATCTTCCATGCCAGTCGTTGCCCGCAGCAGGGATGGGAGTACGATGCATAGGAGGGGGAGGAGGAGGAGGAGCAGGAGCAAGATGAGCAGGATGATCAGGAGGAACATAAGCAGGAGCAGGAGCAGAATGAGCAGGAGACGGAGAGACGAGGGAGGAGCCGTAGTATGATGGAGGAGGGAAGGGGTGGTTCAGCATGAGTCGGAGAGAACGTGTTTTGTGTCATGATCTCGTTGTGGATGTAATGACATATTAGAGTCGTTTTGGCATTCGTCTCAAAGTGCCCCCAAACACCCGAAAGACTGGAGGAGGATGCACGAGGAATGGCGATGATGGTGGTGATGATGCCCACAGGTCTCTGGGCTGGCGACACCCCCTCGGAGATACCACCACACCTGTGGCTATGTCGAGCGGCCTGTCTGCGCGAGCTTGCTCGCGGTGGAGGTTGTGTGCGTTCCATCGCCCGCCTCCTTTTTAAGGCCTGCAGCGGTGGCTCGCACTGCTGGCCTGACTGCACTGCACTGAGACGTGCCCGTCGATGTCGCAACAAACGTCCCGGGCGAAGGACCCAACCATATGCAGCTCAGGGTTTTGCGCGCAAGGCAGGTGGGACGAAGGAAGGGGGCCACGAAACGTTTGGGGCGTGCCGGCATGGGCTCGGCTGCGCCAGGCGGGCCTTGCCATTGGGGCTTTCGGTGGAGCTCCTTGTGGGGCCACGAAGCGTGTGAGGAGTGTGCCGAATGGGTGGGCGCCAGGCGAACCCTCCCACCTGGGTCACGAAACGTGTGAGGAGTGTGCCGAAATGGGCGCGTCGGCGCCACGTCGACCCTCCCACTGGGGCCTTCGGTGGAGCTCCCTATGGGCCACGAAGCGTGTGAGAGGTGAGCAAACAAGGTTGCGGTGGCGCCATGCGAACCCTCCCACTGGAGCCTTCGGTAGTGCTCCCTATGAGGCCGCGAAGCGTGTGAGGAGAGAACCCTCCCATTGGGGCCTTCGGTGGAACTCCCTATGGGGCAACGAAGTGTGCGAAAGGTGTTCCGAAATGGGTGCGGCGGCTCTATGCGAACCCTCCCACAGGGGCCTTTGGTGGAGTAGTTTTTTTTGTTTTATGGGGGGCCGCGAAGCGTGTGAAAGGTGAGGCAAAATTGGTGCGGCGGCGCCATGCGAACCCTCCCACTTCGGTGTAGCTGCAGCTGTTTATGGGGCCACGGAATGTGTCAGGGGTGTGCAGAAACGTGACTAATGATGGTGACAGTAATGATGTTGATGCCGATGAGGTTGATGATGATGGTGATGGTGATGGCACGGGTGATGATGGTGATGATGATGATGATGATGATGATGATGATGATGATGATGATGATGATGATGATGATGATGATGATGATTGTGATGATGATGATAATGCTGATGATGTTGTTGCTGGTGATGCTGCTGCTGATGATGATGATGGTGATGCTGGTGATGATGGTGATGATGGTGATGGTGATATGTGATGATAGTGGTGGTGTTGGTGGTGGTGACGATGACGAGGAGAGGAAGGAGTAGGGGGAGGAGGAAGGAGGGAGACGCGAGGCGCTGCTGATTCAAAACGAGGGCCCCACACCACATAATAGTTTGGAATGATGATGCTTATGCTGCTGATGTTGAGGATGATGATTCTGGTGAGGAGGGGGGGAAGGATGCGACGTATCGATTCGGGTTTGGGCGCCAATGTGACTCTTCCTTATTGTTAACTCCGTCCGCCCTCCGCAAAGATGGCGGACGGAGTAGGGAGCAGGAAGGCTGGAAAACACTGGAGAGCAGGACGATAAGGGAGAGACATGATAGAAGAGCGACGCGAACATGTGGTTTGTTTACCTTTGCGCGCCCGCTTCTCTGCTTCTAGAGCAGACTGTGAGGATGTTTGTCGCGAGGTGCCGGCTTCAGCACACAGGGAACAGTTTGTGAGGATGTCTCCAGCGAGGCACTGGCCTCAGCATCCCAAGGAGTAGCCGCGAGTCAGCAGATTTTGAAGGTATCTCGGGCGAGGCGCTGGAGGAAGGAGGAGGGAGAAGGGAGGAAGGAGTAAGAGAAGGGAGGGGTTACGAGGACGAGGAGGAGGAGGAGGAGGAGGAGGGTGAAGAGAAGGGGAGGGGCCCGCACACCGCCTGTCTGTCTGTCTGTGAGCTGTTGTCGTCGTCGTTGTCCCTGATCGTAGCGGCCGCCATCCCGTCGTCGTCGTCGTTATCGTCGTCGTCGTCATCGTGCTTGTCGTCCACTCGAACTCGGCCTTCACGCCCACACTCTGACAGCTAGACGCTCACAGCGGGACGTGCCAGGAAACCAGATGCGCACATGGGGTTCCTTGCGCCGAGAAATTGTTGCAGGGTGCGCGGAGAGCAACTGGTCGAGACTGATGACGATGAGTGCGGCAAAGGTGCGCACGTAGGTGCAGAGGAGGGACGGCGGTGAGGATTAGTTATGATGGCGATGAGGGTCAATTCATCGGAAGAGGGCCTCGTTGCCACGGCTGGATCCGCCTCGAAACGTCGGTCGATGGGACCCTGGAGGGGTCTGGGCACCGACTTGAATCGGATGCGGGCCAGCCCGCATCATGAGGACCAGACATTTTTAAGGGTACTTTTGCATCATTACCTCTCGGCCCCTTCTAGGCCTTAGTCCTCAGCAAAGGGACTTCGGCTGCCATCTAGGCGTCCAAGAGCCGTGCATCCTTACGGCGCAACCGTATGATCCGGTGGCATTGTAGTCGTGATGGCGATGAGGGTCAATAAAGAGTACGAGTGAAGCTGAGAGGATAGGGCTGATAAGATGAGACGGGTTCAGGGATGAGAGGAGGGCGCGGATGACAGTGGTGACGATGAGTATGCGGGTGCGGTGAGGGTGAGATCAAGGTTTTGTTCATGCGCGGGTGGTCACGAGAGACAACAACCCCACTGAGGGTGTGGGGAAGATCCCCCTCTGCTAAATCGATCCGCTTCGAGTTCGATTGTCCGACGATCTGATGCGTTTCCACGGCGAGGGTGGGCATCGCGGCGCGGCCGATTCGATGCGACCACAGTGCCGACGCGGCCTGACTCGATGCACGCTCCGATCCGATCCGATCTGGCGATCCGATGTTGGTTGCTCCCTGTCATCCCTCCTCCCTCCCTCTTCTCCGGTCGGACGAACTGGGGGAGTGGGAAAGGGGGGGGACGAAGTCTGCTGCATGCAGCTGGTGTCGGCCCCGCCGCCGGGTGCTTTCCTCGATGCATGGGCGTCTCTGGCGCCGGGAGGCGCCGGGGAAGCCAGCTGCCTCATTTCGTCTGACCCGACCTTCCCGCTCCCAGAGGTCCTCCAGTGACTTGCAGAGTGCAGAGGGCTCCAGGCGGCCCACGAGGTCTTCGGGGACCTCCGGAGAGCCCCTGGAGGCCTCGCCAGGCTTCTCGCCGCCGCCGATGCCGCCGCCATCACCGCCGTCGCCGTTCCGCTCTGCCCCCGGCCCGCGCGCCAGAGGCGTTCTGGGCCGCACAGGGCCTGTGACCGCTGGTGAGGGGAGCGCGGCTGCACAGGGCCTGTGACCGCTGGTGAGGGGAGCGCGGCTGCAGCCGCCTCCCGCCTCGCTCCTTCCCCCTCCCTCCCTCCCTTCCTCCCTCCCTCCTCCCTCCTTGTCCCTTCTGCCTCCTTCTGCCGCCCTCCCGCCCTCCCTCCCTGCTCGTCCTCCCCCCCGTCCCTGCCCTCCCATCCTCTCCCTCCCCTCCTCGTCCTCCTCCTCTCCGCCCCCCCCCCTCCTTCCCCCCCCCCCTCCCTCCCTTCCTCCCTCCCATTCGGCGCGCG